TTTCTTTTTTAAATACATCCTTTACATGTTTTGGTGGGACCATCTTCAGAAGAACATATCAATACACTCATCTTCCTTTAAAGAGAAGCAGTATAAAGGACATGAAACAAAGTTTTATAAACCAAACTTGTAAATAGACATGTGATGATTCATAAATGTTTTAATAAATTCATGCACATCACTGTAATTGTTAAAGGCTATTATTATATTTTCATGACATTGTGATGGTGGTTTCTGTGTGTATTGGTAGTGACCAGTGACATTGTAGCAGTGGTTTCCACACGTACTGATGTGTCTTTCTGAAGATGGTCGCTCTGGCTGAAACATGTAAAGGATGAAGTATGAAAAAAATTATCACTCATGCTGGACACTGATCTTTTATAATTTGAGCATTTTCTTTTGTTGCAGGTGTTTAATCGGGAGCTGGATAGTTTGAAGATTGAGACTGTGCAGAAGGAGACTATTCATCCTCGTAAATCCTACAAGATGAACTCTTCGTGTGCTGATATCCTCCTGTTTGCAGCATACAAGTGGAATGTCTCGAGGCCGTCCCTTCTAGCTGACTCAAAGTAAGAGATTTTGGATTGTCACTGTGTAAACTGTATTGGATATTTTTGAAGTTGAGTGGGTTGGATAGATCACTGGAATTCCAGAGGGAAATAGCTTTAGACAGTATTGCCAACCTTTGGGAGAACTAGTCACATGTTCACACTTTTTATCAGTGATGCAGAAAAATGAAAGATGTTCTTTTTGCTGATCTCAGTTTTAATTTTAATGGAGATTGCATATTGTCCTCTGTGTGGAGATAAGGTTGTCCCTGTGCTTGAACAGTGCCAAGTGAAAGGAAAGCTCTGTGCAAGTAATTGATCAACTTCATACTCCCATTGCTATAGTATGAGTTAAAGATCCTTTGGTACCTGTTGGATAGACTCTGTGGGTACCCAAGTCCTGGCTGCGACAGTTGCATTCCTTGTACTCATAATTACAGCTCCATAATGATACTGATCAATGTGACTTCTGTGTACGGATGAATGAAGTTATATTTACTTGCTGATAACACTAGGGACACAATGGACAACACCACAACGCAGAAGTATTGGATTGATGTGCAGCTTCGGTGGGGTGACTATGACTCGCATGACATTGAGAGATACGCTAGAGCAAAGTTCCTGGACTATACAACAGATAATATGTCCATCTATCCATCTCCTACAGGATTGCTCATTGCCATTGATTTGGCATACAGTTTATACAGGTAATAAAGAAAGCTGCAAAGCTTTCATGGCATTTTCCCTGTATGTCATTTCCAGTTCACCGTACATAATATTCTGTTACTCTGTTGGTGTTAAATAACTGCGTTTTATACAGTATCATTAAACAACCCCTAAACCAAATGGATGTGCTTTTGGGGTAGCTGTAATATGTGTATGCATTTATTTTTTATTAATTCAGTAGCACTAGGTACCTCAGTGTGACATTGATTGGTAGGAAGGATATGAAATGAAGTGGATATTTGGTTATTAGTATGATGATGGAAATTAGGTGGAAGGATGTGGACTGTATTTATCTGGCTGAGGGTAGGGGCGAGCATTGGTGTCTTGTGAACTGAGCCATGAAATTTCACTTCTGTAAAAGATAGAAAACTTCTGTGCCAGCTGACCATCTCATGAATGACTTGGCTCCATTGAGTTGGTTTAGTGTAATCCATTCCTTTCAATTTACTCTGAGGCTGATCTAGTTTGGGTATGCAGTTTTAGTCGTGCAGTGTATCTTAAATACATACTTTTAATTAATTTTTGCTGTCATTGTCAACTGACAAAAGTATGTTTTGAAGTTGAATTTGTAGAAATTGGTGTTCTGTTTGCATTTGTATTTTGTGCAGTGCATATGGAAACTGGTATCCAGGCTCCAAACCAGTGATCCAGTGTGCCTTGGAAACAATTATGAAGGAAAATCCAATTTTGCATTTGCTGAGGCAACGGATCAGGATGGCTCTGAAGCAGTACCCTTTAGGGCCTTCTGAACCAGACCTGTCATAACTGAACTGCAAAGAGATCTTTTCCCTTCAGATCATCTGGTGAGTTGAGAAGATGAGATGGATGGCATAAGCACACTAGAGTACTTATAGCCTTGTCCTGTTATTCTTTGTTTTCTAAATCAGTTTCTGTCAGAGGCGTTCATTTTGTGTCGTGCTCTTGATTCTTGCACTCCTGTATCTGTACAGTACTTTGTTATGTCCAAGTAAGGCTCCATAGTAACACACAGTGACACATCAGAATCTTAAAGGAATGCATCCTTTTATGTTATCACTGTCTACATATATATATATATATTGTCACGTGTTGGGTATGTCACGTGACAAATAATTTCACAACATATTGCATATAGCGAATTTATTCCACCTGCTCTCACAATTACACCACTACTGCCATCTGCAATATCATACGTACTTATTTCTGCTACTGTAGGCACTTCCATTCACTCCGGCGAATGCTAGACTGCAGCTGACTGATTACACTGATGAATACTCCTCGTTATGTAGCTTCCACACTGACAACACAGAAAACAGTTACGTGATTGCTTCACTATTGCGTAACGTCATGTTTACAGGCGTTGCTGGGGAACGCTGCCGAGAGTTGTTTATTGCTTTGTAATAACTGTGGTGTCCCCTGTTATGTCACTGCGGGGGAAGGGGATGGAGTGTTTACTGGCCTGTTACCATAGCAGAGGCAGTTGCTCCGATGCTGTTATGTCACCGCTGGATGGGGGAGGGGTCCTGCATCGTGCAAATACATCACAATATATATACGTGTGTGTTGGTTTTTACTGTTGATACAACAAATCTAACAAATGATTTACTCACACTTTTATTGTGTTAATTGTGTTTTATATAGATTGGTTTTTACCTTTGTTGTAACAAAACTCATTCACTCACGCTTTTATCATTAAAAAAACTCTGTGGCCTGTAGTCTGCAAGCGAACTATACTGACCGAGCGACCACCGCTGTTGGCGAAGTTAGTACCAACTTTTGCAGATAGAGTGTCACATGTCAGTGCAAGAAATCCCCATAGCCGTTAATTTCGGTTTTCTAACCAGAGCCGCTATTTCCTTGAAATTACTCCTCAGTTATCCTCACGAGGCTGAGTGGACCCCATTCCAGACCCACTACACACTTTTATCATGTTGTGATTTTTATATATATATATGTACAAATCAGAATATTTCTGTGTTGGACAAGAAGTTCTCATTATGGTTATAAGGGATATGATCTAGGTTGTAAGCTGTGTAGTTTGCTAGAAGTCCAC